TAAAAATAGCTTGACAAAAAATGGTTATTTTTTATAATCCTGATCCCATTCACTGTGAGCCATACATGCATTTGCACAGGGCCACCTAGGTTTAGGGAGGGAGATACGGAGCAGCAGCACTTAAGCTGGCGTTGCTGATGTTTTATGACCCCAGATAAGGTCATCATAGAAGATGGATATCAGGGATGCTAAGGGTGCAATCCTTTCTCCTACGCTGATCAAAGCGTGCACAGCTAACAAAGGGGGTGGCTGGTGGTGACATGGGAAACAGTAAGGGAAGCCCCAGCGGGGACAGAGGCAGGAAAGGGCTGCCTGGGACCGTCCCTTTGAGCAGCAGCAGGGATTTAGAGTCGACGTTAGATTTTATTGGGAGTGGAATAGTTACACTATCAAAACCCATCAAAGCATCAACTCTAATTAGAATAAGGATAGAAAGAGAAATCCCAGATCTTGTAGTTCAGCTGAAAAATGCTGGTATCTGTGAAACCCATAGTCATAGGACCTGGAAGTGCCTAGGAGACGTTTGTGAGTCATTTTGTTGATCCACAGAGAACAAAAAAATACAGACTCATAATACATCTGGTTAATTATCACTACAGTCAAAGGTACTGCAGCCAGTAAGGTCAAGCCAAGCCAAGCCAAGCCAATTTAGTAGCCTCCTTTGCCATAATTACTGATGTAACCACTAAAGATGGTTACAGCATACCTAGATTTCAGAAAGACATTGGATAAAGTGTCACACATAAACATACAGAAAGCATATTGCTTCCCATTTAAATAGAAATGTCGTGGTTTAGAAGTTAGTTTTCCAGCAGAGAACAGTTATTAACAGTAAGACCAGCTGAAAAACAGAATTATTTCAGGTTTGAAAAAAGGTATGCTCTACTTGTGCGTTATTTTATATAAAGAAATAAGGTTTATTTAATACAGCCATTGACAGTCTTGACGAAGGAGCATGTTGATTAGGGTCAAGTGTGCTGATGATACCTGCCTTGAGGTTGCTGGAGAACAGAACCAAACAGCAAAGAGCTCAGGGGACGTGGGCGCAGTGTTCGGCAGAGATCAGGTTTATCACATGCTTCGTATGCGGAGGAAAGGGAAGTGGATGGTGCGGAAATCAGCCCACGTGAAAAGCAGGGAGCCTCAGGTTGTGAGTGATAATTTCCAGTAAAGGAGTGCAATTTGATCCATTTGTTAGGAAAGCCAAAGTTACCTTCCAGCTAATTGATGTATAAGGCGTGAAAGTGAATGTCAAACTGTGACTCTGCCAGTGTGAAAAGCTCTGGTCCAAGTGCGATCCCTCCTTACCACATCAGTGGCGAGTACAGAGGTACTGCAGAAGCCAGGAGGAGTTTTCTCCTTTCCAGTTACCTCCGAAAAGGTGAAGTTAGAAGGAAGCTCTGAGGAAGGGGATTCGAGCTGCTGCTGGAGAGATGTCCCCCAGTCCTTTGCTTCGTCTCAGGGTGCTGCCCACTGCGTGCCCACAGTCGGACAGAGGGTATATCGAGGTAAACGGTACAGCTTTTCCTGCAGTTGGGTAGATGTATAGCTCTGAAATATGTTTGCATCCTCAGAGGTAAGGAATGGTACTTGAAAAAGCCCCAGGAAAAATACCAACAAGTACATTAAAACGATATGCAGAATGAAGAACTGATAAGGTAGATAGCGAGAGACTGCAAGAGGAATCAAGGGCAGATACGATCACAGCCTGTAAATTCTGTCAACATGACAGCATAGATGAGCAAAAAGAAGAATATTTGTTATCTGATGGAAAATAAGCTTCAAGGAAGAGCAGCAATCCCAACAGGAGAGTGGGGGAATGGATCTCCAGGAGAGGAGAAGCTCAGGATGGAGGTAGATAAGCTGCTGCGGGCTGATAGCAGATACGTTTCTAAAATGCAGAAGGCAGGATTAAGTAGACACCTGCTTTCTGCTGCCGCCTGCAGTGCTTCTGTGCAGACCGCAAGGCTGACCTGAACTAGAGGGGTCTGTTGCTTGTTCACAGTCTTCCCAGCAAGCAACTTGCCATCACGCTGAAGATTTCGAAATAAGGTGTTCAGGGTGTGAGTCACTGTTTCTACATGTGCTACTCTGCTTCCAGGGCAGGCGCTGGCAGGGGGCCAGAGCGCAGGCATTGCAGAGGAGGTGGGGGAGGTCTCACCTGCACCGACCAAAGCCCATGCACGTGGTGTTGTGGTGTTGGAGTGGGATGGTGCTATGCGAGGCTCGCTCCGAGGCTCGCGGCGAGGAGGGGGAACCAGATGGCTGCAGCAGTCGCTGCTCCAGCGTCCTCCACCCCGTCTCCTCGCAGCTATTGCTGCCCGCGAGGCAGGAATGTCTGATCTGCTCATGAATCACCTCCTGTGCCGTCCCCGTTGCAGCCCAAGCTGTTAAAGTAAACTGGTGGAAGCTGAAATCTGAAACTGTGGCCATTTCGGAGCTGAGTCAAAAGCCGCTCGGATAGGATACTTCGCCTCCTGAGTCAAAAGCCGCTTGGATAGGATACGCCGCCTCCCAGCTGCAGCGGCCTTTCCCTGGGAAGGGGAGAGGCAGGGCAACAGCAGCCCCAGCCCACCAAGAGCACTGCTACAGCAGGGCGAGCCCATCATTTAGCATGATAATTGAGGCTTGAGAGCCATGATGAAACGGGAGGGAGGGAATAGAGCTTCGGGTGATACCTAAGCACTGAAACACAAGTAGTGGAAAACTTTCTCTGTGATCAGAACGTGGCGCTAAGTCAGCCAGAAATGGTCTCAGAAGACTTTGCCATTGACTGACCAGCCCTTGCCAGTGAAACTCTCTGGGCTCTGATTCAAAATCCCTCATCATGCAAAGCCCTCCTCTGGGGGTAACAGGACTGTTGTGGATCCCCGCGAGCGTGCTGGGTGCCATGTGCACCCTTATAATGACACGGTGATGGCTCCTAGTGACTGCAGTCTGCAGTTAGAGGTTGGTACTTGGTATCAGAGGCCAAATCAGCGTATCCATTGCGTAGATGTCTTTTCCTTAACAGGAAGGCTGTAGAGAGTTTAACGTTTAGCTCTAAGTACAATTGACAGACTGCATTTCTGATGATGTATTTTAAAAATACTACTTCCTAATGCACAACAATTTATCATATGCTTTGAAATTACTTAGCTATCATTCCAGCATGTGCATAGACGTACACAATATTTCTTGTATGTCGGCTTGTGGCTATTACAGTCGCATCATGACCTTGGATCTCAGTTGGCCACTGCTAGGGCTTATTTAAATTTGGATTTGGTAGTGTGCTGCTCAGTTATGGAATTATGCATCTTCTCTAAAGCTGCCCAGATGGAGTGGGCTGATCTTAACAGATACTCTTGTTTGTGCTCATAGCAGCTTGGAGAGTCTGCGTCCCTGCTCTGTCATTTGCGGGCATGAGGTTTGCGCGAGGGGACAGAAAACGCCTGGAGCTCAGGTTGGCTGCGCAAGGCCCGCTATAGGCAGAGCGTGGATCCCAGGGTGTTCCTAAGAATCCCGAGAACAGGTTTGTTTTAATAAGTCTGTAAAACTGCCTATTGCACAGGTTGTGAAATTGTGTAGTTTTGGAACAGAATATTTTGATACCTAAATACAATTATAAACTGTACAGATACAGTTTGTTGATCACTGTTTCACCGCTTGATCATTTACTAGCCTTTGATTCTGGCCTGTCCTTGCGCCTGTGAGCTGGCTTGGCCTGCTGCAGCCTTTTGGAGATTAAACGCACTGATTGCCAGCGCTGGGGATGTGCGTGGCACTGCCCTGACCTGGCTGACAGTGCAGAAGTGCTCCAGCGCCTGACTGCTGCTTCACTTGGTTCCCGAGAGGAACCGTGCAGGGAAGACCAGCTGTTTCTGCTTCTGAAGTGTTAATTCAGGATTACCTCTGTGGATATATGAGTGTACGGAAGAGAACGTGAGCTGGAGCCTGAGAGGTTCTTAATGACTCTTGCGTTCAGGCACTCACCTGGCTGTGCTTCGGCTGACTGATAGGGAGGTTCCTGAGAGCGCCTGTTTGCCAGGCTCTTGGAGGAGTCCTTCATTCACCTTATGTGTAAATACAACAATTATGCAGCATGTTTAGAGACATAGCTCTTAGAAAAGCTACTTGTGAATAAATATCCAGCCTGTGTTATTCTCCTCCCAAACAAATACCACTGTGGAAGGGATTTCTTATTTGACATCAAAGGAGAGATAACAAATGATAGGCATCATCTAATTGGTGCCATTCCCATATGTTCTGATTCTTTATTGCAGGTTGTCAGTCACAGCTGCTAGGTCATTGTTTCTGTGTGTGTGAGTAGCACAGAATCACGATGGGCAGCAATCCTAGTGCCTATATCAGCCAGATATGCTTGTATGTGGTGACATTTTAAAACTGAAGAGTGTCCTACTGTTCAAAGAAAATGAAATGGCATTTCGAGATCTTGTTTTAAGAAAACTAGCCTTCTGAAATCTCCCAATGTGCAGCTGAATTCTATATTTTTCCTTATTAGCGTACTTAAATGAGGGAGACAGTGAAGGGGAAGGGGGGAAGTGGTGCAAGAGTCCATGGTGCGCCGTGCAGAGGCAGGAGCGATGTGGCTGGCGTGGGGAGGTGACTGCTTTGCGGCAGCCACGTGGCCTTGCCCGGTCTTGCGCTCTGGGCCAGCTGTGTTGAAGCACAGCAAGCCCGTCCTTCCCACTGAGCAGCCACCATTTGTCTGCCAGTCACCCATGAGAACCAGTGCTCACCTCCTCTTCCTCCTTCCCAGCGTGGCTCAGCACCAGCGGAGGCACTGCTGAGCCCTGCCCATTGCTGCTTTGTGTTTCACTGGCTGTTTTGGGGCCAAAGGCGACATTTGGAGGGAATGTTTCAGAATAACTCTGTCAACAGGCTTTCACATAAAACAATTAAAACAGCCGCAGCCATGTTGTCTTCATTTGCTCACATCTGACTCCTTCTGAACTTAAGTCCTTTGTGGTCCCTCACATTTGTTTTCTCTTTCTCTACAGAATGCGATGAACTTGCCACCTGACAAAGCCAGGTTATTGCGGCAGTACGACAACGAGAAGAAGTGGGAGCTCATCTGTGATCAGGTATGGGGCAGTTGTGAGGGCCTTTTGCAGACATCCTGTTAAGTGAGTTTTGTCAGCATTGTCCCAAGGCTTGAAAAGGACAAGTGTTTGAATGGTTTCAAACACCCCTTTCTTTGGCCTCATGCTCCGTTATTTGTAACATTTCATAGAAGCCTTGTAACAATACTTCCCTTTTTCTCCACAGAATGATATTTCTTTCCCATCTGATGTCATTGTCACCCCTTTGTCTATTTTCTCTGTATGGTGAACGTTGCTTATTTTGCATGGCATAGACTTGAGGAGAATGACCTTCATCCACCTCTTGGCAAGTGTTTTGAGTTTGGTCTGCCCTGACCTGTATAATATGAATGAATGGTCTTGATCCCGTTAGTATTTGGCTTTCCATATCACAAACCATTATCACAGTTGGCGTTAGCTGTCCCCTTCAGTGCAACATGAGTGGTCATGTAGCCTGAGCTACCTCTTTAGCTCCAGAGGCTGAACAACAACCTTAAGCAGCACTGTAGGCTGAGAAATCTTTTGTGTGTAATCTATGCTGCTTGGCAATAGTATATAACAATAGGTTGTCTCTGCCACGACAAATGAGCAGAAACTACAATGTTTAGAGGAAGTGAAGCGTGCAAAAGTTAAGAAATGTGTTTATGAGCCAGCACCAAAATCAGATTCTACCATAAATTTCGAAAATAATTGCTAATGAAAATAATTGATCCAGGACTGGAAGAGGAGGATGTTTCTTTGAAATGTAAACACAGAGGGACCAGGATGAGAGTTTGGCAGAAGGTACAGTACTGTTATGAGGTCAGGAACATCATAATAAATAGGTTTGTGGGACTTTTCCTGTTTATCCATTACTGCAGTTGAGCCTATGATGAAATCCAGTTACCTTAAAGTTGAATACAGAATTACCTACTTCCTTCCAGGAGTTTTCTGTGCAGAAAACTTAAGGCATTGCATTATTTAAAGGTTCCTGACCAAATTGCTTAATTTGCTGTGAGTGATTTATTTCTTTGGGGATGTTAGCTTAGCACATGCACGTTCAAATTGTGGGCATCTAAGAAGGGTGAACTTTGTGCATGAGTTTGTATGTTCTCAGGTTGTACCAATTTGGCAATGAGCCAGGCAGAAGTAGTTACATCGTAGCCTTGATGTGCTCACTCACACCTCAGAGCTGATCCACCCTTTGCAACATGCAGCTGCTGCTGATTCTTCTCAGCCCTGAACTCTAGAGCAAGATAAAAGAGGTGGACAGGTGGAAATACAGGGTGAGGAAACCTTGCAACCTGGAGTAACTGCCTATCTTAATAGCTCCTTTTACAACCTGCTGAGCCCATCCCTGGGTTAAGATGAGTCCGCTTCCCATTGCTTTGAGAGGGTAAACAAAGAAGCAGCAGCATCGGCCTGTCGTAACTGGCACTGCAGAGTCTAATCCGGTGAAGATCCCGAAGAGCTAGGGAGCTGACAGCGTGCCACCCTTTCCAGGCTCGAGCCATCAGAGGGGACATGCTTTGGGAGCCAAGGGACTGCGGGTCTGTTATCTATCACAACTCCTCGGCTGCCCTGACATCCCTTGTGAGTGCTTGCCAGCCACTGTAAATTTGAACAGCATGGAGCAGGTGTCTGTAAAAGCACCATAATACAGCATATGGTGTGTGAAATATTTATATCTGTCCACATAATTATAGCACATGGCTAAAAATACTTCCATGAATAAATTTTGTGCAGAATGGATATTTTAATGTGGAAGCAGAATTTGAACAGCTATTTTATATTGGAATCACCCATTACACCATTTTTCATTCTTTTTTTGCTAATTGAAGGACAGAGAACATAAGTTAATGAAAAAGCTGGAAGAAATTAACTCTTGCCCTGCATAGTCCTGTGCTCAGTTTCAACTTAAATCTGAAAAGGAAAAGGATCCAGACTAAAGGAATTACTCTTAAATGATATTTTCTAAATAGCTTGTAAAACAGGCCCTGGTTGTTTGTCTGTGAAATATTTTGAGAACTAGTTGCTGGGCCACTATGGAGTTAGGGGTATTAATTAGGACATCAGAGAGTTTGGTCCACAAAAGGAACTCTTCATTTACAGACCTACGATTACCGGAAGTGGGGAGCTACTGATCTCATGCTTAAAATAATAATAATAATCTCAAATCTTCCCTGAGTAGGATTATGCACTTTCTGCTGAAGCCCGGTGAAGGTTGCTGCACTCACTGAGGGGGACTCATCCAGAGTGATCTATAAACCTTTTGAGCCTTCTAAGCTTTTCTGCTGCTATTGTAAAAGCTGCCTCTGACCCCTGCCTTAGCAAGCAAGCAATATTTGTAATGGTCATAATAGTGTCTCACTGAGCTAAGGTAGGCAGATGGGCAGTCTTAGTCCCAGATAAATCTGACTGAACGCAGGCAGACAGGAGCTCAGGGCAAGGCTGCGACCCGGTGGCAGGGTGAACGGAGAGATATTAGCTGGCGTGGTTGAATGTGGACTGGCATGGAGGGCAGGGGTGGCTGGGCTGATGATTGTGGTTCTGGAGGAGAAGGTGGGGATGTGGGAAGGGCTCCTGTCCTGCCCCTCATCCCTGCTCATGGTTTGGAGGACATGCTGTGACCAGCTCAGGGTCTAGCTCTGTTCCTGCCCAGCCAGTGGTTTAAGGATTTATGTGGAGAAAAGAGCTCTGAGTACCCTTTTTTTGAGAGCTATGGCCCTTCCTCTTATCCCGGAGAGTATCCCTGGAGGAGCAGACTGGGTGTTCATTAAAGAAATGCCCATCCCTATGGCTGATTGCAAGCCCTCCAGCTTGGAAGGGACCGCGTGACAGGTCAGCTGGGGCAGATGAGTGTTGGGAATGAACCAAGGAGAGAAAATGATAAATTCTCCTGACCTAAAGAGGTACCCTTTTGGTTTACTGCCTTCCTAGAGACTTATGTTTGGTGGTAGTCTGGGGCTTTGTTCCAACCTTGAGGAGTGAGGTATTACAAAGGGGACACAGATGTCAAGGGAGAGGGTGGGATCGTCTTACAAAGTTCTTCAATGCCCTCTAATGGCAAACTGTGGCAGGGCGCAGCATGGCAGGGGCAGAGACCCTGTCCTCACCTTGGGAGATGCTGGAGATGTGTGAGGAATAACAAATTAAGAGACCTAAGAGGAAGGGAAGGGTTGTCGGGAAGTCATATGATTTATACCCAAATGCTATGGGTCATGGGTCCATGCCACGCCGTGGGTCCGTATCAGATGCTCATTGCACCTGAAGCAAGGCCACATTTGGTGCATCAGTAGGGTTCCCTGTTCAGTTCCAAGGTTTATTTTGGCTTTTGACTAAAAATGAAAGTGTGTGATTACACACCCTTTTGGAAACAAAATCCTCAGGTAGATAGGTTGTGCCACATTAATCCCTATTTCTTTCAGCTCTGAGGGTGAAACCCTGGTTATGCTGAAGACAAAAATGGTATTCCTCTTGGCTTCAATGTCTAAAATTGCCTAAGGGAAGTGAAGTTTACCTTGGTGTGCTTTTTGGTGGAAGATCGTGGTAAAGGGAGAGTCCAGGCACAGAAATCTGGTATTTTGAGATTATACTGTCAAAAATAAACAACATTCTAAGTAGCCTAGTAAAGGAGAACATCTGAAACCACAGAGGGACCCTAAAGATGTGTTCATATAGATATTAAGCAAGCTTTAGCTGTAGTTATTAGACCATTTTCTTAATTAACAAGACAAAAATATTAATCAGTAGGCTTTCTGTTCTGCCAGAAGTTATATCGTACATCTCCACAGTTCACACTAGCTTATATCGTACAGTCACACCCCTAGGATCCAGGCTTGCTTTTCACGCTCTTTCCTCTTCTACATCTTTTTGCTGGAGTTCTGCAAAGGGAAAATGGCATATAGCTTTCCTTTCTGTAAAACATGGAGAGCCGTTTTAAAGTCTAGAGCGCTAGGAAGAGTCTACAAATATCTTTGTGCCCTTTGGCTGCAGGCTGGGAATTATTTTAAAGGCACACTCGGTCATGCTCAGTCTGCAAATAGCAGAGCAGTTGAGACAGCAGTCCTTCATGTTGACTTTGGGTCTCAAGTGGATTACTGGAGAAAAAAACGGCAGGCAGGGATTGAGCCTGGATAGAGATTTCCCTGGGATGCTGTGCTATTGATTGTTTGACAGAAATATCGGAGGTAAGCCCCAAACCTCTTCCCAGAAATCTGGTAAAAGGAGGGTGATTGAAAAGTGACATCTTATGTTATATGTTACCATATGGTGCCATTACTCCTTTTGCAGGAGAGAGCTGGATTTCTTGACACCACACAACCACGTCTTTCACATCTTTATATATCCTACAGTTGCCATTTACATACAGCTCTGTTTTGAGAGCCTTTGCATTAAATATAAATGTTTGGTATACCAGTTAATCTCCCCCCCCACACACCATTTTTTCTTTAAAGGGACCCTGTCGCGTGCAAAATGTGGGTTATCTGTCAGTTGTAGTGATAGAAAACCCAGTGTTTTATTGAACTGATAAGCGGCTGGACAGTAGAGACATTCACAGCTTCATTTATCTGGCTTAGTGGCCGTATGAAAGGTGGCTTGTGAGAGGTCAGACCCTGAGGAGCGGGAGCACACGTGGGGCACAAAGTCAAAGACTCTTCCTCTGCAGGGACCGGCGGGGGGGGGGGGGGGTGGTTGTATGTTATGGACTGTCTGTGGTGTCTGTGGTTTCGCCTGCATTGGCCAGGTCCCTAGCAGAAGTGCTGCTGACTTGATCTTGCAGAAAGTTAATAATGGTGGAAACAGATCCCTCTGTGCTGATCAGCTGATGAAATCTGCCCCCAAAGTGCTATAATTAGTGCTGAGATGAATGGCTGCTATCATTTCGTTTCGTAAGAGGACATAAAAATGAAATTCTTTTGTACTGGCCCTCAAATTTTGTTCAGGAGTGGAATATAGGTGGTTGAAATGTGTCCTGCTTTTACGACATGATGGTACTCTTGGGAGTAAGAAGACACTAGGAT